CTACAACCTAACATCACTACACCTCACAACTCAGTACACCAATTCGATGGTCATCATCCAACTACACATTCCACCAGAAGTTCTACTACGATTTGTCAGTGCTGGACAACTCATCAACTTCTGCCGCGACTACGTGAGCCACATGATCTCAATCAAAGACGAGCACCACCTACCTACACGCCAGCTACATCAACGAGTACACCGAATCACCTACAACTTGGACCAGATCACCACTACATTCAACCTGTCCAACAACTTCATTTGGAACTACCACATGCCCCTGTACCTACCAGAACTACTCAACTACTTCGACCAACCACAACAACTTCATTGTGACAACAGAAACAACACTTGCACTTGCAGTAAAGTACCAACGTATTTTAACGAGAGAGAGAGACAGAGAGAGAGAGGGCGGCGTTGCTGCATTGCTCCTATCGCTTCCTTCGCTTCTCCACGGGTCTGGCGCCATGCGGCGCCAGGCTTTCGCAGACCTGGTGATTGGCGGGGGCTCGGCGCCTCAGCTGCTGGTGGCGCTGAGCTGCCACTCTGAGGCCGAGGGGCCGAGGGGCCGAGGGGCCGAGGGGCCGAGGGGTCGGGCGAGCCAAAGGAAGAAGCAACCCGAGCATTTCATGTTCGAGTTTTTTAAACGGCATTCCTCGCCAAGTGGGAAGTAACAGCCGACCGTTGCAGCCTGTCACAGCTCAACAAGCTCGGCGGATCTCGCACTGGCGAATCAAGTTGTTTGCATAAGTCATTTTAAGCTCTGAGCCGCCATCAAGTGGGATGTCTTGAAATGCAGGCCGCACTTTCAGAGCCTAGGCCATCCGAGTACCGCCAAGCTGCTTTGCACCAGAGTGCTTTGATGGTGCAGAATGTTGGATCTAGAAAATCGACAAGCTGCAATGCAGCAGCTGCAACAGGAAGCTTTCGAGATGTTCAGCATGAAAACATTCGGACCACTGAAGGGAGACAAACTGACTGCAAATATTCGTGGGCGTGACTAGTGTCACTGGGGTTGGGCAAGCTTCTCCATGAAGGGTGGCAGTGTTGGTCCTGTTTGCCAGGCGCTGGCACTGACGTGTTTGGCTCCTCAGCGCGAGTTGGTGCTTCTTTTGCTAGCCGATGTCAAATGGATTTCAATAGGAGGCCCTGCTTCCCAATCTCCAGTTGAGGCCCTCCAATCTCCACCTGAGTAGATGCAGGTTAGTTCGGGACAGCACCAACCGGAAATAGGTGAGGCCACGGCTTTGGGCAGGCCACTGAGATATACCAGGAATTGATTATGACAGACTGTCCCCGAGGATCGTGGGGTACGACGTGCTGTGGCGGTGCGCGCGCAGAGCTCCTTGTTGGACTCCGCGGCTCGGGACTTCACCTTGACCTTCTACGCAGAGCGCCTCGCAGTTGGTTGATGGTGAATTTTGTGCCTTCAACATTTGGTAAATCCGACATTTGGTAAAATCCAGCATTGCCCAACATGCCTTCATGTTTATCTTCGATGGGAAGGCAAGCATGGCTGGTGATGTTGGTAGACATACACCTCAAGGGTCCGACATGTGGTCGTCCTCGAAGTATGTTCAATTCAGTCCATGGCCAAAATGCTTGTGTACATACGAGTCTACCAAAGCAGATATGAATGATACCAGGTTGTAATGCATGCACACATACTACAGTTACTACAGTTACTACAGTTGCTACAGTTGCTACAGTTACTACAGTATACACATACACAATTGTTGCACGTGCTTTTACCTTAATGCATATGTACGTATGTGTACAATGTATCAGTTATGTGATGTACAGTATTCGCACAAACTTGTTTGTGTTTGACACAGCCCCAACGCATGTCAGAGCACAGCCAGAGACAACTGCTTTTCACAGATAGACTTCAACAAGGTTACACAATGTCGCCAAGAACACCTGGACGGGTTGGCCTGCCAAAGCTTCTGCTTGAAAGCACACATTCCGGTGGCTCCTACAGCATTTTCCCAGGCTCCGGACACATTGGAACGTGCAGCGCGCCTTCCTCATGGCTCTGGAGAGCATGAGAGCGTCCAGGACGGGGGCATAGATACGGGCATGGATGCGAGTTATCAAGGGCCCAAAAGCGAGGCTGAAAAACGGGATTTCCTCAAACGAGGTCTTGTTGTGGGCCTTGGCTGGAGGGAGACATCGCCTGATCCGCCGAGAGAGATACAAACTGGACACTGCCCAGGGAGCCGGGCGTTGCTGGGGAAGCGGAGAAGCTGGTGTTGCTGCCAGAGGACTGCCCGACCCTGACAGCTGACAGTCCGGCTTTGGTAAGCTATCGCAACAAATCAAGCCTAAGTCGGATGTAGATCGACCGATCTTAGCACCAAAACAACTCCAGCAGATCCTCATTGCAGAATCTTGCCATGGCGCCTTCGAGAGTCTCATGCAGTGCACGTCTTACCACTCATTTCTTGCATGTTTGGTGCGATGTGTGTTTGTTTGTTTGTTTGTTTGTTTGTTTGCTTTGGTTGGTTGGTTGGTTGGTTGGTTGGTTGGTTGGTTGGTTGGTTGGTTGGTTGGTTGGTTGGTTGGTTGGTTGGTTGGTTTGTGCACACGACACCTTCAGACCCTGTTGGCATTGCTTGGGCTGAATTGGCCAAGGCCATTTCTGTAGACTTCCCATGGCTTGCTTACCTTGGGATTGTCATCATCCAACTTGGATCTGTGCGTGTGCATGTGTGTGTGTTTGTCCAGGGTGCCCCCGAGTTCGAGCTGGGCGGTCAAGCCTGTGTGCTGGGCTTGCCAGAGGCGCGGCCCTTGATGAGCTTATTGCCCTCCACGTTTGATTAATATTTGCTGTGCATGAACGGGGGCAATGCTGATGGAACCCCAGGCTATTGCGTTGTCAGGACGCCAAGGTAGAGCCTTGAGAATTGCAAGTTAAAACGCAGCCTGCGGGGAAGGGTATGAAAAGGCATGAACTGAGCTGCTTTTTGTTTGCTGCTGATGCTGCATGATCCGAGGATGTTGCGTTCTGCATGCTGCTTGCATTCACTTTTTGTGTGAATCAGCCGGTGGTTCTGCATTCTTGTCCGAGTGCGCAACTTAGCAGTCTTTGCCGTGGTCGAGGAAAAGCCCTGCCCCTGTGGCAGGACAGCCCACCGGAGATGGATAAGACCATTGCAGCTGCTCGGCCATGGTGATTGTCATGGCACTGCAAAGGCCTTCCTTAGGATGCAGTGGTGTGCGGTTTAAGGCAGATGCAACCCAGGAATACTCCGCCACCAGTCATGGCTCTATACTTCTTCGAACTGAGGTTCGAATGCCCTTCAGCGCCGGCGAGGCACGACCTCTGTTTCTGTTGACTCAAGGCCGTAGATGATTTTCTAAAAGTTTGGCCTTTGTGGGCTCCATGGTTTCAGTGTGTTTAGTAAAGATTCTTTTGCAAGCCCAGTTGAGTGTTCTGTTTTGATGCCAATGTAATGGTGCACCAGTAGCTTGACTAGCAGCTTTTTAGTCGGCCATGAAGTCAGCCCCCCCGTGCCAATGCAATTGCTGAAGCTACCCACGTGCCTTGCAGGTGGCAGTGGGGGCGCTGGAGCAGAGCCGGCTGGAACGGCTTAGCGAACTGCTACCGCACAGCCGGGGCTTGCACCTGGGCTCAGAAGGGCTTGGGGTGGGAAGCTCAAATCGAAGTGGAGCGGTGTGTAAAATCGGCTGTTGGGGCAACCATTGGGATGCGGGCACATATCTTGTTTCGCTTGTTCCGGGGAGTGGCCAATGGTTGGCGTCCTTTTGTGTTGCAGGTTGTGTTCAGCAGTTGCCATGATGTGCTAAATGAGTTCCAGAAACTAGGGGGCGCCAGGATTGAGGGGAGCTCGGCCAAAAAAAGCCTCATCATTGGAAAGGTCCACCATATTGACAGGCAACCAGATGTGGGCTTTCTTTTGGTCGAGGGAGAGCCAACGTGCAACTAGCCTGCTATTTCGCGACACACCCTCAGATTGGCACAAACATCAAGCCCTCCGCATTTCTCACAACTTGCTGCCGGGCAAATGCGTGTTGTGTTGTGTTGTGTTGTGTTGTGTTGTGTTGTGTTGTGTTGTGTTGTGTTGTGTTGTGTGTGTGTGTTGTGTGTGTGTGTGTGTGTGTGTGTGTGTGTGTGTGTGTGTGTGTGTGTGTGTGTGTGTGTGTGTGTGTGTGTGTGTGTTTGTTTGTGTGTTGCAAAACGCAACGCGGTGGATGTGTCAACATTTTGTTTTCCGAGTCCATGTATTTAATGTATTGAAGTGCAAATCTTTGGTGGTGTTTTCACGAGCCGTAAGGTTCTAGCAACCTCATCTCGAACATGCTGATGCCGTTATGCACGAGAACCGTTTATCCCAATCTTCGGGGTTTTGGAGCTCGGTGTGTCAAACTGTTGCAGGCAGTTGTTTGTACACCACGCTCCCTCAGGTGTTACAAAAAAGCGCAGCAGACGGAAATACATGCAATTGGCTCGATTGATCCTCAATGCACATCCAACAATCCAAATCATGCGCAGATTGTGGACGTAGACGTAGCGATCACAGTTTGTACCACGTGCCCTTTGCTTCGTGGAGTCCGGCATGGTACGCGCGACACTTCTGAGGTTCCCTGGTCACAGCATACGCTCAGAAGACCGAACCATGGCTACCCCAAAGTTTTCTCCCCTTCGGGAGTGAGCAACGACGTGGCGTAACTTCCTAAGCTGAGCTTGTATCATCCATTTTCCGGACTTAATTTAAGCATAGGCCATTCTATCAAACAGCGTTCAACGCATGTGCAGTGTTCCCCGCAGCTGATTTCAACTAGAAAAGACCTGGATGCTCTCGGCTCTCGGCTCTCAGCTCTGAATCGCTTGTTGCAACGACATGTTGTTGCTTATTGATCTCTTGCACAGCAGATTTGCCCGTTTTACAGTGGGTACATACCCCTCTTGGGGAGACACGGATGCACACTAGCAAGTGTTTGAGTCTACAAAAAAAATGCAGGCTTTGCTTGGGCCCATGGTCCCGATGGATAGGCCACGGGAGCATTGTTTGATGGGTTAGTCAGGCGAGAATTCGAAGAGTGACTCCAGTTATCTCCAGTTGAGAGTCAAATTTGACAGACATCAAGCTCAGGTTTATCAGCCAAGCGCTGGCTGGCTTCTCTAGCTACCGTGCCTTGAAGGTGTCAGGCGAGACACCTGCAGATTTGCAGGCAGGAGTTACTCACTAGGTTCCGGTCTCAAGAGCCTTCTCCCTATCCATGGCCTTGCCTGTTGCAGCTTGTTGCTCGCGCAGGATTTTGCTGCGGCATTGGTGCGATTTGCATGCTACCCTGGTGGAAGGCACGGTGGGAAGTTGCTGCTTGACATTTGCACTGCCTCACGACCCGTTACAAGTTTGAGTCCATCAAGTGACCGTCGCTTTCCCTCCGGAAGCTCCTAGAAGCTGACAGCATTTGACAGCAATGGTTGAGGAGAATGCATGCAGTTTCTTCCAGCAATCGACTTTCAGGCTTTTTCCTGGCGGCGCGGTTGTGGTGAAAAGTGAGGCTGGACTTGGCAGTTCATTGCTTGGCTTATGGTCCTACCACTCCGCACAAAGGGCGCGGGTTTTTATAGCTTGATTGTGTTCCTTCATTGGCTGCAGCAGTCAGCCTGCTCTGAATCGTGTAATTGCATGCCGTTGACTGATCAGCTTCGCGCGACCTCCCAGACCGACAAAGCTGGCGTTCATTCGTGTTTCTAAGCAACTACCCACCCCCACAAACATGCAGGGAAGGTGTTTGAACCTTGGACTATACAACGCTTTGAATCGGAGGATTCTACAGTTTATGGCTGCTTGTTTTTAAGCACCAAAAACCGAACGGCCCGTCCGTTTGCTTGTTTGCTTGTTTGCTTGTTTGCTTGTTTGCTTGTTTGCTTGTTTGTTTGTTTGTTTGTTTGCTTTGCTTGCTTTGTTTGCGTGTTTGCTTTGTTTGCTTTGTTTGTTTGTTTGTTTGGTTGGTTGGTTGGTTGTTTCTTTGTGTCTTTCTTTCTTTCTTTCTTTCTTCCTTCCTTCCTTTCTTCCTTTGTTTCTTTCTTTGTTTCTTTCTCTGTTTGTTTCTCTGTTTGTTTCTTCGTTTTTTTTTTTTTGTTTTTTTTTCTCTTTTTTTGCGCGCAGCCGTTCGTTTGTTTGTGTGTGTCTTTCTTTGACGCCTTTTCCTGGCACGAAGCAAAGCAGACTAGAATCAGCTAGAACAGGTGTTGGCATGTTGGCTTCAGGCTCAGTGGTTTCAATGTGGGGCTCTGCCCACGACCGGGACGTGTCGCAGGCATGCAGATTTAGCAGAAATATGCCAACACTCCAACGGCAGTGAGCCAGACGAACCTTGCTTCTACAGCATGTCACCTGGGTTTTCCATTTGAGCCGATGATCCGGTCTATTTTAAACCAACCATAAGTCTTACAGCGCTGTAAAGGAGGCTTCCGAAGCAAGCCCTTCATGAATCTTGGCCACTGCAAGGTGCAAGGCGGTGTGCTTTCGCAGCAGCAGATGTGCGACATCTTTCTGCCCATCATGAGGCTAGCTGCCTAATGGCTTGTTTCTGTTCACAGGATGATGAAGCCCACACAAGGCGCAAGGCGGGCTTGGGAGTAATGGTGTCCCTCAACATTAACCAGTCGAACCCTTTGTGCGGCAAGGGATCAATGGGATGCGTCGTGTGCCACAGCACTAGGCACATCCCCATTGCTGAATTCGGGGGCAAGGATGCTCCAGCCCTGATTTGGCTGGCACGGAGGCGAGCGACAGAACAACTGCACTTGCAACAAGCGACGTTGTCAATTGCCTCCCAATACTCAACAACATAGCCGGGGTACTTAAATCTCCTGAGCCCATTTGATGCCTGAGTTGTGATCCCCGGCTTGTGCCATCCTTATTCGGAAATACTGCCTTAGAGTGGCAGAAAGAAAAGCTCTCGGTCTTTCCGCTTTGGGCGATGTTCATGCAATTGGTCAGGGAAAGGAGAGCTGCGAGAGCCAGGAGCCACGGCACGCTGGTTCGCAAGATGGGCCGTCGTCTTGCTCGGCCAGCTCTCCGCGGTGAGGAGGTCCAATGGAGCTGGGACACGTCCTGAAGAGGAACTGAGCTCATCACAACAGGGCAACAATGTCATGAGTCATGGCAAGACATGCTTGAGATTCTTGTTCTATACCCGCCGCGCGTAGAGGTGATGTTGTATTGCTCTTCATGGCACAAGATGAGTACTGGACTCTGGAACGTTACTCTGAGCCAGGTGCAGACGATCATCAACGGAGAGTGTGTGGCCAAGACAGTGGTGACTGACGCGACTTGGATGAAGTCAACAATCTCAACTGTTTGTCGGGGTGAGAGGTAGCCTTGGCATCAGCTTTGATGGTCGGTGGTTGTGTCGGACATCTCAAGTTGTCTTGGTGTTTTGTTGTCAACAAGATATGTTTTTCGGGAATGCCACAATGTGCTGACGGGCATGACATGTTGAGAGGCAACTTGGATTGAATAGTGTAGGTTCGGAACTGAGACAAGGAGGCTCAACTATGGCTAAACTCAGACAGGTGGGATGCTAGGATGCTGCTCAACCTTTCGCAGTCGATGTTCTATTCCCGTCTCAACTTATCCGTTCCCGAATGTTTTACGCTCATGCTGCTTCTAACTGAGCTTTGAAGGAAGGAAGACGGTGATATAGATTATAATTGCTTTCACACAACAAGGCAGTGGGCAATCATGCATCGCTGCCTTCTCGTGGGATATTGTGGATGTGACATTAAATTGACACTTCTTGTGTGAGACAGGTGCTGCTTCAATGCAAACTGAGGACAGCAGCTATGTCATTCAGCAGGCCATTTAATGGGCAATGTGGGCTGCGTGTGCAATGTATCCATGGTTGCCATGTCAACTGTGTCGCAGGCTTTGCGTATGCATCTGAGCAAACGCCTTTCCTACTTTGAGTCTATGTAAAGCATTGCTGGCCTTCAAGATAGCTTGATTGTCATGAGCGCCTTGCAGGATTCTGTGGACAGAGAGCTTTATGTGCTGAGTGAGGAGAAGTTTGAGAGGCGCGGCAGGAAACGAGCAGTATCTCAGATCGCAGGAAGCCTCTGGAGGCCGCCAACATTCTTCATAGAGAAGGTGGCCAAGTCAACACGCGGTATGGAGGGCTCCCTCCTACATATTCGTACATTGGGGAGAAGGGTAAGCCAGCGTGCTTGTGTTTTAAGATGGAGACCGAATCCTCAGCAGGCTTGGGCTTGGGGCCATTCGAACGCCCTTTGCCTGTTGCTAGGTTCACAGCGACCGACCCCGGCAAATCCCCACGCACGGCTCGCCCAAGAAGCTGTTAGCTGGAAGAGTCCCCCACGCCGCCAGATGGCGGACTGATTTGATGCAGATGTTTCGCCCAAGAAGACCATCCATGATTATTGAGTTATCATGCACTGTTTGTTCATTCTTTGTGTCTTATGATTTCTCTGAAGCTCGCTTCTTTGCACAGGAACTACGAGCTGCCTGGCTTTGACATCTCCGAGAAGAGCCCAGAGAGTGACTTGATGAGGCACTTGTCGCGTGCATCTGAAAATTACCTCGAACTCCTTTTAATGTGATTTAAGCTGACTCATTGTTGAAATCAGCTGGCCAAGCTTCAAGCATGGCTCCCTGCAGCTAAAAAAGACGTGGGATTGTGAAATAACCCCGCGCCTGAATTGTGCTTGCTTCCAAAACCTTGCAAACCGACAAGAGTAAAAAAGAACGATGAAAGGGCGTTAGTCACGATTTTAACGCCTCCGGCTCAGGCCGCCGACATTACAGGCCTGCTTTCTTATTTGCGTCCCTTTGGAATTGTCCCCTTGCCCCCTTCCCCTCTGAGATTTTTGCCCCCCTTTCTTTGTTGAGATCCATTCCCCCTTTCCGCCCTAAGGCCTTGTCTTCCTCTGATTTTTCCCTTTTCCTCCCTAAGATGTTTTCCCCCCTCTCCCTGTTGAGATCCTTTCCCCCCTTTCCCCCCTAAGGCCTTTTCCCCCCTGAGATCTTCTCCCTTTTCCTCCCTTTCCCCCACTTTCCCCCCTACGGCCTTTTCCTCCCTGGGATCTTTTCCCTTTCCTCCCTGAGATCTTCCCCCCCCTCTCCATGTTGAGATCCTTTCCCCCCTTTCCCCCCTACGGCCTTTCCCCCCGCTGAGATCTTCTCCCTGTTCCTCCTTAAGATCCTTTGCCCCCTTTCCCTGTTGAGATCCTTTCCCCCCTTCCCTTTAAGGCCTTTCCAGATCTTCTCCCTTTTCCTTCCTAAGATTGTTTCCCCCCTTTCCCTGTTGAGATCCTTCCCACCCTTTCCCCCCTCAGGCCTTTCCCCCCCTGAGAGCTTCTCCCTTTTCCTTCCTTAGATCTTTCCCCCCTTTCCCTGTTGGCCTTTTTCCCCCAGATCTTCTCCCTTTCCTCCTCTAAGATCTTTTCCACCCCTTTCCCTGTTGAGATCATTTCTCCCCTTTCCCCCCTAAGGCCTTTGCCCCCAGATCTTCTCCCTTTCCTCCCTAAGATCTTTTCCGCCCCTTTCCCTGCTCAGATCCTTTCCCCCCTTTCCCCCCTAAGGCCTTTCCCCCCCTGAGATCTTCTCCCTTTTCCTCCCTAAGATCTTTTGCCACCTTTCCCTGTTGAGATCCATTCCCCCTTTCCCCCCTAAGGCCCTTTCTCCCTCTGAGTTTTTCCCTTTTCCTCCCTACGATGTTTTCCCCCCTCTCCCTGTTGAGATCCTTTCCCTCCTTTCCCCCCTAAGGCCTTTTTTCCCCCCGCGATCTTCCCCCTTTTCCTTCCTAAGATCTTTTCCCCCCTTTCCTTGTTGAGATCCTTTCCCGCCCTTTCCCCCCTAAGGCGTTTCCCCCCCAAGATCTTCTCCCTTTTCCTCCCTAAGATCCTTTGCCCCCTTTCCCTGTTGAGATCCTTTCCCCCCTTTCCCCCCTAAGGCCTTTCCCCCCCTGAGATCTTCTCCCTTGTCCTCCCCAAGATCTTTTCCCTTGGTTGAGATCCTTTCCCCCTTTCCCCCCAAGATCTTCTCCCTTTTCCTCCCTAGGATCTTCTCCCACCTTTCCCTGTTGAGCTCCTTTCCCCCTTTTCCCCCTAAGGCCTTTTCAGATCTTCTCCCTTTTCCTCCCGAAGATCCTTTGCCCCCTTTCCCTGTTGAGATCCTTTCCCCCTTTCCCCCCTAAGGCCTTTTCCCTGCCTGGGATCTTTTCCCTTTCCTCACTGAGATGTTTCCCGCCCTTTCCCTGTTGAGATCCTTCCCCTCCTTTCCTTCCTAAGGCATTTCCCCGCGCTGAGATCTTCTCCCTATTCCTCCTTAAGATCCTTTGCCCCCTTTCCCCGTTGAGATCCTTTCCCCCCTTCCCTTTAAGGCCTTTCCAGATCTTCTCCCTTTTCCTTCCCCCCTTTCCCTGTTGAGATCCTTCCCACCCTTTCCCTGAGAGCTTCTCCCTTTTCCTTCCTTAGATCTTTCCCCCCTTTCCCTGTTGGCTTTTCGTCCCCCAGATCTTCTCCCTTTCCTCCCTAAGATCTTTTCCACCCCTTTCCCTGTTGAGATCATTTCTCCCCTTTTTTCCCTAAGGCCTTTGTCCCGAGATCTTCCCCCTTTCCTCCCTAAGATCTTTCCCCCCCCCCCCCTTTCCCTGCTGAGATCCTTTTCCCCCTTTCCCCCCTAAGGCCTTTCCCACCCCCTGAGAGCTTCTCCCTTTTCCTTCCTAAGATCTTTTCCCCCCTTTCCCTGTTGACCTTTTTTCCCCCAGATCTTCTCCCTTTCCTCCCTAAGATCTTTTCCACCCCTTTCCCTGTTGAGATCATTTCTCCCCTTTCCCCCCTAAGGCCTTTGCCCCCAGATCTTCTCCCTTTCCTCCCTAAGATCTTTTCCGCCCCTTTCCCTGCTCAGATCCTTTCCCCCCTTTCCCCCCTAAGGCCTTTCCCCCCCTGAGATCTTCTCCCTTTTCCTTCCTAAGATCTTTTCCCCCCTTTCCCTGTTGACCTTTTTTCCCCCAGATCTTCTCCCTTTCCTCCCTAAGATCTTCTCCCCTTTCCCCCCTAAGTCCTTTTCTCCCAGATCTTCTCCGTTTCCTCCCTAAGATCTTCCCCCACCCCTTTCCTCCCTAAGATCTTTCCCACCCTTTCCCTGTTGAGATCCTTTCCCCCCTTTCCCTCCCAAGGCCTTTCCCCCGCCTGAGAGCTTCTCCCTTTTCCTTCCTAAGATCTTTTCCCTCCTTTCCCTGTTGGGCTTTCCCCCCTAAGTCCTTTTCTCCCAGATCTTCTCCCTTTCCTCCCTAAGATCTTCCCCCCCCCCCCTTTCCTTCCTAAGATTGTTTCCCTTCTTTCCCTGTTGAGATCCTTCCCACCCTTTTCCCCCTCAGGCCTTTCCCCCCCTGAGAGCTTCTCCCTTTTCCTTCCTTAGATCTTTCCCACCTTTCCCTGTTGGCCTCTTTTCCCCCAGATCTTCCCCCTTGCCTCCCTAAGATCTTTTCCACCCCTTTCCCTGTTGAGATCATTTCTCCCCTTTCCCCCCTAAGGCCTTTGCCCCCAGATCTTCCCCCTTTCCTCCCTAAGATCTTTCCCCCCCTTTCCCTGCTCAGATCCTTTCCCCCCTTTCCCCCCTAAGGCCTTTCCCCCCCTGAGATCTTCTCCCTTTTCCTGCCCTAAGATCGTTTGCCACCTTTCCCTGTTGAGATCCATTCCCCCTTTCCCCCCTGAGGCCCTTTCTCCCTCTGAGTTTTTCCCTTTTCCTCCCTGCGATGTTTTCCCCCCTCTCCCTGTTGAGATCCTTTCCCTCCTTTCCCCCCTAAGGCCTTTTTTCCCCCCGCGATCTTCCCCCTTTTCCTTCCTAAGATCTTTTCCCCCCTTTCCTTGTTGAGATCCTTTCCCGCCCTTTCCCCCCTAAGGCGTTTTCCCCCCCAAGATCTTCTCCCTTTTCCTCCCTAAGATCCTTTGCCCCCTTTCCCTGTTGAGATCCTTTCCCCCCTTTCCCCCCTAAGGCCTTTCCCCCCCTGAGATCTTCTCCCTTGTCCTCCCCAAGATCTTTTCCCTTGGTTGAGATCCTTTCCCCCTTTCCCCCCGAGATCTTCTCCCTTTTTTTCTCCCTAGGATCTTCTCCCACCTTTCCCTGTTGAGCTCCTTTCCCCCTTTTCCCCGTAAGGCCTTTTCAGATCTTCTCCCTTTTCCTCCCTAAGATCCTTTGCCCCCTTTCCCTGTTGAGATCCTTTCCCCCTTTCCCCCCTAAGGCCTTTTCCCTGCCTGGGATCTTTTCCCTTTCCTCACTGAGATCTTTCCCCCCCTTTCCCTGTTGAGATCCTTTCCCTCCTTTCCTTCCTAAGGCCTTTCCCCCCGCTGAGATCTTCTCCCTATTCCTCCTTAAGATCCTTTGCCCCCTTGAGATCCTTTCCCCCCTTCCCTTTAAGGTCTTTCCAGATCTTCTCCCTTTTCCTTCCTAAGATTGTTCCCCCCTTTCCCTGTTGAGATCCTTCCCACCCTTTCCCGCCTAAGGCCTTTCCCCCCCTGAGAGCTTCTCCCTTTTCCTTCCTTAGATCTTTCCCACCCTTTCCCTGTTGAGATCCTTTCCCCCCCATCTTTTAGTTAGTGGTGGCCTCTCCCGTCCGCATTTTGCCATCCGGTCCTAGGGTCCCCCCCACACTTTTGGGCACATTCTGAATACACCCACTAAAACAGCCCATTTTCAACATTCAAATTCAATCACCCAACCAATCCAACACCAAAAAACACATATTCACACACCCCTCTTCATTTCTTACCCCATCTCAACATCACCCTTACACTCATTCAATAACAACAATCATAACTACATACCACCTCAACAAATCCCACCAACAAAATCCAAGCTACATACCAACATTTTTTCATTCCCAAGATCGCAACCCCAAGATCTCAATAATTTCTCCCTTGATCCAACTTGAGACCCTTTCCCAGTTCCAACAAATACGAACAGTCTAGAAAAGAACCCTATGTTCGCCCCGAAAAATGGTTAACCAATGGAAAAGGGAGAATTAAAACCGTTAACCCAAATCTTGAAAACAATCCCAGTAAAATATGGATGGCAAAATGCGGATCGGGAAAGGCCTATGTAGGAAAGCACCCCCACGGCTTATACGGGAAAATTAAACTAAAATTACAACATATAAGATCTTATATGTTGTAACTATAGTATAATCAAGAACTGAAACATTCATTTCAATAATAGCTAGCCGCGCTTTCATTATCACTAAATTCTTCATCCTCGTCATAGAAGTCTTCCGTGCTTAATATATGATAAAATCGGATATGCCATTCTGCCTCTGTTCTGAATGGCATCATTTCCAACAGTGCTCTCATTGCATCGTAATAACCCATTCTCAAGTGTTTTCTTTTGTCATCAATACTATCAATGAACCAGAGCTGTTTAAATTTATTTTCAATATCATATATGTAGGAATAATTATAGAACGCTTTCAATTCTAAATATATTTCATAATCAGATTTGGTATCATCCAATGCTTCCGTTAAAGTCATTGCCCAGAATGGGTTTCTTTTTGCTCTTTCCCAAGTTGGAAAATGGTTTTTAAGAATATCATTAAACCTGTAAG